GTGGGGGGAGGGGTGGTAAGGGCAAGGGATGGCGTGGGAACCAGGTGGAGGGGAACTATTGGGGGGGGGGGGGGGGCTGGACTGTAATAATCTGAATAAAGATTTATTTTTAAAAATAACGATGATGGCCAAAACCGGTTTGGCTCAGTGGTAGAGCATCAGTCTGCGGACTGAAAGGTCCTGGGTTTGATTCCAGTCAGGGGCATGTACGTTGGTTGCGGGCACATCCCCGGTAGGGGGTGTGCAAGAGGCAGCTGGTCGATGTTTCTCTCTCGACCTTTCTAGCTCTCTCTCTCCCTTCCTCTCTGTAAAAAAATCAATAAAATATATATTTTTTAAAATAATAATAATGGTTTGAAGTCCTATAATCCTTGAATCAGAGAAATTATTTTTTATCTGTATCTTTGAGATGGGTTGTAATATAAGAGGCCTTTTAGAGGTAAAAAATTCATCCAATTTTCAATTTATAAAACTAGCAAGTATTCTAAGGAAATTGTTGATAGTCAAGTCCTAGGTCATGCATGAGAGGAGCACAGCCTAGCACCACAGCATTCAGGCCCTGACCAGACCCTGCTACTTACACTTGGTGAGACCTGGGGCTACTACTTGCTTCCTCTTTGAGCTTTGGGGTTCCGAGTCTGTTAAAAGAGTAGGAAGGGGGAAAAGTAGTCCCTTTCCAAAATCTTTCCAAACTCTAAACTACCATTGTCTGTGTACATTTTATTCTTATTCCTTTGCATATTTTTATTGACAGAGTTTGAGTTGGGCTTTCATCCTTTTTTAAGCTAATAAATGTCTCACTGATCAATCCCTCTACCTGCCAAACAGGCCAGGCAGCCTGGGGCTGGAGGAAGGGCCCACGGACAGCTGCAGTCTGTTCGTTGCACAAAGATGCCCAGACCGGAAGACAAGGGAGCCTCAACTCCAAACTGAGCTCCTCTTGTCAAGCTGCGCACCCACAAGCTTGCACCACCCAGAGGCAGCACCTTTTCCTAACTCCCACAAAGGCACCAGAGGTTGTGCTAGCCCTATTCCCACCTCACTGGGTTTAACAGTTCCTTTGGGAGGTTGCCAGACTTTCTTGGTTCAGAGGACACAGTTAAAGAATATACTCTGCATTATTGTTATCACTTTATTAATATATTATCACTGTTCTTAAAAATGAGTGGAGGCCGAAACCGGTTTGGCTCAGTGAATAGAGCGTCGGCCTACAGACTGAAAGGTCCCAGGTTCGATTCTGATCAAGGGCATGTACCTTGGTTGCGGGCACATTCCCAATAGGGGGTATGCAAGAGGCAGCTGATGGATGTTTCTCTCATTGATGTTTCTAACTCTCCCTCTCCCTTCCTCTCTTATATAAAAATTATATATATAATTTTTTTTTTAAATGAGTGAAGAGCTTTCACGCACAAGAATCTTGGGAGCAAAATAAATAAATAAATAAATAAATAAATAAATAAATAAATAAATAAATAAAAATAAAAAAAAATAAATTTAAAAAAAAAGAATCTAGGGAGCTCTCAAACATACTGGCTATATGATTTCAAAATTCTACTTGGTCTTATATCACCATACTCCAAACCTGACAACAGTCTAATTTGCTAGTTTGTTTAATTTGGCTTAAATGGTTAGTTTTGTGATTTGTTCTATAATCTTATTATTCTGATTAGGGTGCATATCAGTTCAGCCTCAGCTCAGGTTTCTGAAATTTGCTTACTCCCACACCATGCAATTAGTAGGAGCCTGAAGAACAACAAAGATAAAGGCAGGCAAGATCCAGCTCCCATGGTACTGTAAATAAGACCTCTCCTTTGCACATGGGCAACTTCTAGGTTGGATGTGCCCACCTCAATCTGCTCCTGAGTCACCTGGATTCCAGGCCATAAGCAGACCAGACCCACTGGGTCCAAGCTACTGTCTGAGTGAATTCCCTGAATCTCTAAGAAAATGAATTCTTATGATCTTGCAAGGAATCAGTCCTTGTAGACACTCCACTGTAGGTTGTTACTGGCACTTGGGAAGAGTCTGATCTAGAGTCCTGCCAAATCTTGTCCTTCCTCCTTTCTTAAGATCCAAAGATGGATTTACTATAAAGTTTAAGATGTAAATATACAAATAAATGTCTCAGAAATAAGTAAAATTAGTCAAGACTGGCAAGGTTTTAAGATTTCCATTTTATTAAAAATATAGCAACACAATAGCAGCATCATTTGATAAACCTTTTCTAGTATCATTTAGTAGTCCTACTCACATAAACACACACCACTTATACAGCACCTTCCTGCTTACATTTTAAACTCTTCCCTTGATAATTCATAGTATTGTATAAAGAACACTATGTATTAACCCAATTAAGATTATGAGAGTACTACTTAACCATTAAACTGAACTACCTATACAATTACAGTAGACCAAAATGTGAATCTCCTGTGGAAATCAGGGAATTCTGTAGATTGTTCCCCAACATTTTTCTGCCTACCCGTAACCTTAAGTTGATAGAACTAAATCTCAACTGTAAGTCTTTCAGAGTGATTTTCATGAATTTGAACTTAATATACAGGGTATTCCACCTCCCAAAAGTGTACCGTATTTTCCGGCGTATAAGACTTTTGAAACGAAAAAAGGTCAACCAAAAATCGGGGGCAAAAGACCAAAATTGCACAAAAATTACCTGCAGATCTTGACGGCAAAGTAAGTCTTTTCTTTGAAGTGGGGGGTAGTCTTATACAGCGAATATAGGCCTAAACCTATGTTTTAACTGTAAAATTAGGGGGTTGTCTTATACGCCGGAAAATACAGCACAATTTCAATAATTATTAATTCCAATGGGTAAAATCTGAAAAGAGACATTGAGCTATCAGCTGTTAGGTTGTGTATACATTTTGGGGGGATGCCCTGTAGTTAAGAAAATATCTGTCTAGCAAATAAATGTTAATCAAGAATGGAGGGAACTATTCGTTTCAGTCCTGGAAAATATTTACTGTAAAATATGTGAAGCTTCCCAAAAGGTGGCAATTTTCAAAATGAAAATGTTAGCTAGATACAAGTAAATTTAACAATCAGGCAACAGGCTACAAACCTGCTTTTAAAAATAATATATTAAGAAATATTATATTAGATATAAACTAATAAGTTAATTTCAACAACCATAAAATTACCCGAAAGTGAAATGGGGAAAAAATCTATTATTTATTAAATCCAACTTAACAGAATATGGAACAAAAGTCATTAATAGCTTTAGCTTTTATTTTTAAAATAATGTATCAGTCTTTAGGCAGAATTATCAATAAAAATGTTCTAAGAGAAACAAATTAACCCACAAACCCAAGATTAAGTAGGGAAGTCCATTATATTTTAAAGTATTATTTTATTACATTTACACTGGACTCTTGCTTCCAGAAGTACAATTTAGCCCTTTTAAGGGCATTAACTTTTGAAATCTGAAAATAAACAATTCAATTTAAATAAATATTGCATTAGTAAATAAACATAAGAAGGTACTAGGTATATTAAGCAGCAAAGATTAAACAAAAATTAAACATGTAAGAAACATACTTTGTTGAAATGGCTCTATTTCAAGGCCCAGTTAAATTCAGATACTATTTTATAGTGAAAATATAAAAAATGACTAATTGAAATGTTGTTATTCAATGGATCCCTCCAAAAGGACTCATTCTAATTGCTATAACAACTACTAAAGATTTAAATAAAATCATATTTCCAATAAATTTTTAAACTTTTAAAAGCCTACTACTATATATATGTACTGAATACATATATAACCATGATATGTGTGTGTGTGTGTGTGTGTGTATCCCTTAAATTTGAACATTATCTTCAGTTAAAAAAATTTGGGGTTTTTTTAGTTTTAAATAAAAATAGCGACATATATAAGAATGAATGGGGTCATGAAAATGACTAATATCATAAGATATTCTTGACAAAATATTAATTCTAAATGTAATTTTGAATATGCCAAAATTTAAGCCTCTGACACTGCTAAAGATCAACATAGCATGCATTTTACCTCTTGATAAAGTAATTCTAAACAGAAAATCACAAGCTGGCTAGTGTTTGCAATTACATGTTAGATTAGATGAAAAATAACTAAGGAGATGGTTGCAGAAGGAGTTATACTTGTTTTCTCACATGAAACTGGCTGCCTTATGAAGAGCCATCTTATATTATTACCATTTCAGTGTGCAGTGCTGGACAGAAAGAACAAAAGGGCCAACAGAATTTGTCCAGAATGAAGAAGAGCAATTACAATTTAAAGAACAGAGTGTATGTACTCTCCATATGATCAAACCAAAAAAGATATTTACAGGAGTTTTCAAGTATATAATGGCTGTCATCTTGGCCTTACCTCAAGTTTTTCTGACAACATCTACCTGGGATGAATAAGAATAATCTTAAAGGAAAAAACAAATTCCTTAAAAAAATAATAAACAAATGGAAACATTTCAGCTGTCATGTGTGAACAAGAATTCCCACCACCGTTCGTGCATGGGCGCGCGCGCGCTCTCTCTCTCTCTCTCTCTCTCTCTCTCTCTCTCTCACACACACACACACACACACACACACACACACACACACTCTCTCTCTCTCTCTCTCTCTCTCTCTCTCTCACACACACACACACACACACACACATCTATAGATCTAGAACACTTTCCTTATATAAGCTCTAATTTAAGAAAATTATTTCACTTTCTCCAGATCTTGTGTTCCTACTTATGACTAACTTTTACAAATCAGTCTTACATTATTGTAAAGCTGAATAAATATAGGCAAGAAAAATAAGTAGCAGGACCCAAATTAAACATGCTAATTATAACATTACAAACATTTAGTAGAGTCCAGAATACAAGAACACACTCAAACTTTAAATGATTGTTTTATAGACACCACACCAAACATGCATCCTTCATGTCAAAACAATTTTTATGGAAACTAAAAAAATAAAACTAAGATGTTGTTTTGAAATGCATAACAAATACTTTCCTCTAAAATACTTAGCTTTATTAAGAAATTGTACTAAAAATAACAGTCAAACATTTGCTCTATTCTACTTACATATCATAAATAAGACAGCTGTTGATGCAAGACTTACGTACTCCTTCACGATCTTTCCATAGTCACCATACAAGCATTCTTATATTAGAATAAGCTGTTTACCAGCCAACCGTATGTGGTTGAAGGATTAAAATGACCATCTATACTTTACATAGTAAAGCATTTTCAAAAAATTTAATGTACACAGTGACAAAAAGGGGAAAAAATACCACAGTAATTCTGGACACATGAAGAGGAATTAAGCAGCTTCATAATCAAACTAGGCTTCATTATTTGCAATAAGGACAATTCTTTCCATTCCCCACCCAATACTTAAGTTTCAATAGTATTAACCTTAAAAGAAAACTCAAGTTGAAACCAAATAACTGATGTGCTACCCAGCTTTGAAATATATAAGTAACTCTTCCCGTGAGGTAAGGCAACTGAGTAATTTGATTGTATTAGATTGTATTAAAATAATTATACTTAATTTTTCAATAATATGATAATTAAAAAGTATATCTTTTTTGGAAATATAACAATGAAAAGAGTTCTGAAACTATGAGTTATGTTTTAGGGTGGTGGGGAAATATTAGCAATGTTGTCATTTTACTGCTTGCATACTTTCTACAAAAAGTGAACCTAAGAATGATGGATGACCTATATTTTAAATCAAGTAAATAAATCCTTAAACATAAAACAACCTCATGTATTCTCCTTCAACTTCAATTTCTGCACATCATTTATGAGAAGATGATTGAGAGGTAATAATTAAGGCCATCCCATGTAGACAACTAAAGGATTTGCTTTAAGTAAATTAAGAACATGCTTCATTTTCAATGATCACAGTATACAACTGATGGTCCCAAAACTGCACTGTTGTTTTAAGCTCTAAAGTCATTCTTGAAAAAGAGGACTTCCCTCTCATATTAGGTGAACTAAGTAAGAAGCTCTTTTGACATATCACTTGAACACTTCTCTATGGGAGTGAATGGAATATCCATCTAAATTCCATATGAGCTGAGAATGTCTAGTACATATAAAATTCTAGAAAACAGTATACCACATTGTAGAAGGCACTAAAGCTTCAGCTTGTGCTCCCATAGCCCATTTTAAAAACCCAAGTTTTCTTTTTATAACGACACCTTTGCCATCTACTGCTAACAATACACACAATATTATTCATAATAAGCTTGGAAGTGACAAGAAAGTTAAAAAAGAAGTGCTTACTTTGTGGGAAAACCCAATGATTCTAAACACTGAATACTAATACATTAATTATTAGTATTCAACACAGTTGTTCATCCTTTTGAAAGAGAACAGTAGTAGCATGCATTGTCAGTTGTTTTTTAATCCACTTATTTAAGGAATTTGAATCTGTAAAAGTATTGTAAAGAAAAGCTTTTGTCCTATCCAGTGAGAAAAAGAAACACAATAGTGAGAATTTAACACAAGCACTATAAATCCTGTGGAGTTAAGTGTTAAAACTTCTTACATATTCTGCACTTACAAGGGTGGGTATGTATTTGCACCGATTTCAAGCACATCATCAATATGTATTTATGAAATTAAAAAAAAAAGTAAAACAATACAAAATTCAGTAACTAACACTTTTTAAAAGAGCCTCCAATGTTTATCTCCAGTCTTTGTGAAGAGTACAAATTTGGATCTTTGATGTCCCATTTATTTATAATGGTTCTTGGCAAACACTAACAAACCACAGGACAAGTGTGTCAGCCACCATGGAAATGCACAGGTTTTAGAAGATGAGTTTGGGTATTATCAGTTATCTTCATGATGTCCATGCTTTCTTTTCTTACTCACTAACAAGATGGCCACAAAGCCACCTAACAACTAGAAAAGTTGTTAGCTTATCTCTTTATGCTCAAATGGATTCTTCATTATTTAACATCTTGTTAAGAGTAATTAAAAGCTTTGGATTTCATTCCGGCACGCATTCAGAGGTGCACTGGTCAGTCTTATACAGCTTCTGTTTTGGTAGAAAGGTTTTCTTCATTTGGCTGACAATTCCCATTTTGCTGTACTTGGTTTTCCTCAGTCCTTGGTGCGTCCTTGTCATCTGCTTCTTTGCTCACACCTGATTCTGGTTCTTTATTGTGCTCCTTCTCCTACAATGAATATTGAGAGATACATTTAATATTTTTCTCAAGAGTTGCCTGTTACTATATCTGCTTACGGCTAAAATATGTAATTTTATATATTGTGAATTAATAAAACTGGGTTATTTTCTCCCATTACCATTTCATATAAATAGGTTATGCAAACATGTATCCATGTCTTTTGCACTTCTCATAAAAGATGGGCAATCCATGGAAATTAAATTCGAAAAAAAACAGATCAACAGAAATCCTAAAGAAGTGTTCAATAAGTGTTGTTCACTGACTTCAAAGAGTGTGACAAAACTGTTGAAAGAGTAAAATAGTTCCCAAAGACACTGGGATAGATTTGTAATCTGGAAACCAAAGAAGCAAAAGTAAGGGAATACAGAAAACTGTTCAAGAACATCCATGTTTTGCCCTCAACTTAAAGAAGATTTAAATGAGAACATGAGGAATAATGCTTGGCACATAGTAAGTGCTCAAGAAATGCATGTTATTAACAATGATAAACTTCTATCAGTATGAGAGTAAATAAAACTGTATGATAAAAGCTCCAGAACTCATGATACAAATTATATCAATATAGCATAATTGATTAAGTTCTTAAAATATTCATCCCAAAAAGTTACTTGGTAGAGTTTGGTGCAATTAAGAACAATCTCAATTATTATTGAAAGTCGAAACACGGAATGTCCATTGCTTACTTTAAGTGAAGTATTGTTCTTCTCCAATTTTTCTTTCCCATCTTTGTCATTAGAATTCTTTCTTGTAGAGGTTGAACGCTCTCTCTCTCTTCTTTCACTAATATGGTCCCTTTCTTTTTCTCTCTTTTTATCTTTCTTGTTTCTGCTATAAGAATATTGGTAATATGTCAGTTAACGTCTAAGAAATGAAAGACCAGCTCTTTTGTTGACGAAATGTTCTTAACACTAAAGCATTGTAAATAAGCATATCAGTAACCTAATTTGATCAAATAACATGAGACCTACTCTAACCCGCACTCCAATTAACATTTTTTAATTTAACTTTTTATTTTTTTAAGAATAGGTTTTGCCGAAACCGGTTTGGCTCAGCAGTAGAGCATCCGTCTGCGGACTGCAAGGTCCCAGGTTTGATTCCGGCCAAGGGCATGTACATTGGTTGTGGGCACATCCCCGGTAGGGGGTGTGCAAGAGGCAGCTGGTCGATGTTTCTCTCTCATCGATGTTTCTAGCTCTCTCTCTCTCTCTCTCCCTTCCTCTCTGTAAGAAAATCAATAAAATATATTTTTAAAAAAAAGAAAAAAAGAATAGGTTTTACTGATTTTTAGAGTGAGAGAAAGGAAGAAGAGTGGAACATCGATAAAAGAGCGCAACATTGATCAGCTGACTCCTGCATGTCCCTGACTAGGAATTGAAACAACCTTTCAAGTGCATACGATAATGCCCAACCAACTGAGTAGCACCAACCAGGTGTTCACATAAAACACAATTTAGTATTGTCAATTTATTAGTTCTAAAACATTTGAAAGTTTATTTAGCTACTATAATTAGGGTAAAATGAAACCAAATATATATATATATACCCACATACTAGAGGCCTGGTGCACAAAATCCATACATGGAGGAGGGGTGTCCCTCAGCCCAGCCTACACCCTCTCCAATCTGGGACCCCTTAAAGAATGTCCAACTGTCGGTTTACCAGGATCAGCCCTAAACCAGCAGTTGGACATCCTCTCACAATCCAGGACTGCTGGCTCCTATCCGCTCACCTGCCTGCCCAATTGCCCCTAACCACTTTGCCTGCCGGCCTGCTCACCCCCAACTATGCCCGTCAGTCTGATCACCCCCAAATGCTCCCTGTGTCAGTGTGCTTGGCCCCCAACGTCACCCCCTGCTTGCCTGCTTGCTCCCAACTGCCCCCCTGATGGCCTGCTCACTCCAAACTGCCCCCCACCTACTGTCCTGATCACCTCCAATTGTCCCCCACTGATGGCCTGCTCACCCCCAACTAGCCCCCCTGCTAGTCTGCTTACCCCCAATGGCCCCGCCCCCCACCAGCCTGATCACTCATAACTGCCATCCCATCCTGGTCTGATCACTCACAACTGCCCTCCCTTCTTGGCCTCTACCTTGGCACCGCCACCATGGCATTGTCCAAAAGGACGTCCAGGTTTTCCAGTCTAATTAGTATATTACCCTTTTATTAGTATAGAAAGAGGCCTGGTGCACAGGTGGGGGCCGGCTGGTTTGCCCTGAAGGGTGTCCCGGATCAAGGGGGTTTCCTTGGGGTGTGGGGCAGCCAGGGAGAGGGGCCTGTGGTGGTTTGCAGGGGATAAGTAATTGTACTCCTTCTTTGTAAATATATCTTTTTGTCTAATCTGAATTAAAAACTGAGAAAAGTCTTGACTTTTATAAGCAAAGCTTTTTTTTCCCCATAAAAATATGGCTACCTCTATAATATCCTATGTCTTTCCTTATTCTCACCTAAAAACAATAGCCCACAAGCAAATAAACAAAATGCCCCTGCTGGGAACATGCTCCATACAATCTGGCAAAGCTTTTTATTAATTTATCTTTCCTAAACCTAGAAAACCAACTAAAAAACTATGACTTACCAATAAAGGAATGAAAAAAATAAACAAAAATCAAACCCAACCTCCAATTAGACAATGTAATAAAAGAAAAGACCTTATTAACAAAACAATAAAAGTAAAATATGTGTAAGAATTTAGAAAATACACAAAATCTGTATGAAACAAACAATAAAAACACACTAAAGATGACCTGAATAAGCAGAAAGATATACTATGTTCCTAATAGAAAGATTCATCTTATTAAAGTCTTATGTATTAATAAAGCTAGTTATAAATTTTCTCTAATAAATGTAACATAACAGTAATACAAATCATCAATAGATTTTATTTCTAAAAACTAGACAACTGACTCATGTTCAAAGGGAAAAATAGAAGTGCAAGCATGGTCAGGAAAGCTCAAAAAAAGAGCAATGGGGAGTGTGGGGAAGAACAGGCTTTATTAGCTATTAAGAAATACTATGTAATCTGAATAATTAAAACCATATAAAAATCAGTCAAACCAATCCAACAGCACAGAACAGTGATTTTCAACAGTATGCCACAAGAATTTTTAACACATGCAATACCTGACTATTAAGTCAGGGGCACCAACCTTTTCCCCTTAGATTGTCAAATTAAAAAATGACAACCAACACAACACAATAGTCATCCTATATGACTGAAACAAAACCATACTATTTTTTTTTTCTTATCAGCAAAAATTGTATTTTTTAGTGTGGGGCAGAATTTTAGTAATTAGTTTATGTGTGCCATGAGATGAAAAAAGATAAAAATCGCTGGCCTAGAAGGCACAGAAATAAACACAAATAGAAAAATTTAGTACATAACAAAAGCAATCTTTCAAACTAGTATTAGAAACATTTGAGTTTTTGATGAATGGTATTAGGACAACAGTGAAGCATTTGGAAAAAATAAAATAAAATCGGATGGTACATTTGGATAAACACCTAATGGATCAAAGATATAAATGTAAAAATAAAACCATAAAAGTAGGAAGAAACAATGGGGGAATTCTATCATAACCTTGGAATAGGAAAAGACCTTTCTAAATTTATGACAAAATCTAAAAGTTAAATAGAAAAAATTAAGTTAAATAAAAATAAAAAACATTTGTATTTAAAAGCTGGGATTTAAATATGACAAAGTAAAAAAACAGTTACTGATTAATTATTAAAAACTATCCTGCTTAACATATTAGCAAAATTATATACTCTAAATTACCTCATTAGTAAGGGTGGTCAATCTAGAAACATTAATTTAGAAGGGTAAGTTTTTAAACTAGGAAAGATACTTGAAATCAAATCACTAAAGAATAGTTTCACCAATACAGAAAAAGCTTCTGAAAATATTAAAAAACAGACTCCATAAGAAAACTAGCAAAATATATAGACAATTCACAGGAAATGGCCTTCAAATATAGAGATGATCACTATTATTTTTAAGAGAAATACAACTAAAATTACTATGATGGTATAATTACTCATCAATTAAGTGGGCAAAAAGCCACAACCTTGAGTACAGAACCTGTTATAGCTGTAGGAAACAAGCATCCTCATGCACAGCTAAAGTACAGGGTGTTGTCAATCTGTATGAAAGGCAATATGGAAAACTCTTAAAATTACAAACACAATCCTCTGAGCCAACATAACCATTTCTGGAAAGTTTTCCTACATACTTATACATTACAAAATGAACTAAGTCCAAAGCGATTCGTTACAATATTGTATAATTTAGAACAGAAAATGTAAGAAAGCCCATTCTACCACAGGCTAGTTAAATAAACTAAGGTACTATCATACAAAAGAAGTCCATGCAGTTGAAAAAATGAATAAAGCAGCACTCTGACAAATATGAAAAGATCTGTTTGTGAAGTGAAAAAAGCAAGTGCACAACAGTGTATATTTTGTACTGTCTTTTATTAGAAGGATGAAAATAACTACGTATCCTCACCTTGTATGTGTATATGAAACTGAAAGGTTATACTAAAAATGAATAGTCATTACTTATGAGAACAGAGTATGTGGGCACAAGGGTGAAAATTAAGACCTATGACTGTTTAACTTTTTATATGGTTTTGATTTCTGAACCATGCAAATGTATTACATATAACTCATTCAAAAATATAAAGTTTTAAAAATAGGCTGAAAATAAAATTGTCCCCCCTGATTCCTCCTTAATATGGGCACATACTTTCAACCTACCTCCTAGGGGATGGAGACCTAGAAGATTTCCTTTTCATGGTTTTTGATGTTCTTGGGGATCTAGAAGAACTCCTGCTCCGCCTCCTTCGCCTTTCCCTGAAAGTCAAAGACATGCCATTTATAACAGCAACTTAAATAAAGTGCAATTCGTATCAGTAGACGAGTAGATAAAAAAGGTTTGGTACATTTATACCATGCAATACTATGCAGCAAGTAAAGAATCTCTTACCCTTTGATACAGCATAGAGGAATCTAGAGTATCATGCTAAGTGAAATAAGCTAGTCAGAGCAAGACAAGTATCACATGACCTCCCCATATGTGGAATCTAATTAACAAAACAAATTGACGAATGGAGTGAATCCAGAGACATGGAAGCATGGAACATAGTGTAGAATCTCAGAGAGAAGGCCAGGAAGGCTAGGTGGGTGGAGATAATCAACCAAAGCAGTTGTATGCATATATGCATAGCCCATGGACACAGACAATAGAATGGTGAAGACCTGGAGTGGGGCAAGCTGAGAGGATTAATGAGAGTTGGGGAGGGAGAGAAAGGGATATATGTAATACTTTCAACAATGAAGATTTTTTAAATCCTATATAATAAAAAGGCTAATATGTAAATTGGCCTAACTTAGAACGACCGGTCACTATGATGTGACCACAAAGGGGCAGATGCTCAACACAGGAGCTGTCCCCTGTTGTCAGCACACTCCCACAGGGGGAGCACCACTCATCTAGAAGCCGAGCTTGTGGCTACCGAATGCAGCCACGGTGGTGGGAGCCTCTCCTGCCTTTATGACAGAGCTAAGGACACGGTCTAAGCCATCAGTTGGACATCCCCTGAGGGCTCCTAGACCGCGAGAGGGTGCAGACCAGACTGAGAAATCCCCTCCCCACCAGTGCATGAATTTTGTGCCCCAGGCCTCTAGTAAATAAAGGGCAATTCAAATAAACAAAACCAGAAGAGTCCTTAATGCTCTCAAGTGACCAGTATTCTTTGGAAGCCCGTTTAAGCACATGTCCTTTATGAGCATGTTCTATTATCCAATTTTAGTGCAGGTCAAATTATGAACCATAAATCTTACAGATTAATAAAAAGATCTAACATTTCATATTAGAAAGGATATAGGACTTCCAACTCATCTTGTTTATTTGAACAATAATTTCTTGAGTTGAAAAAAAAATATTAATGGATGTTTCAGATTCTCTCAATTAGATATTTTCTTCCTTAACACCTAAAACATATTTTGCTTAGATATGTTCTTCCTTAGCACCTAAAACATGTTTTGTTCAGATCCTTTGTCATGCATCTAGCTCCTTGCTGCCCCACTGTGGATTATTTTATAATAAGGTCACTAACATGCCCTTTTCAAGAAAAATAAGTTGGCTTGCAAAATGTGAACTTTCCAGACCTAAGTATTCAAAGTATCTCTAAAAATGTATTTACATTAACTCATCTTATGCTTTGCCCTCCCATCTCCTACCATTTCATTACTGTTGTTCTATTCACTTAAAATGAAGTGCAGAGTTGCTTAGAGATAAGTAAAATACTTAAAACCATGGATTTAAATATGACAAAGTAAAAATAATTACTAAATTGTGTTTGTTATTAAAAATTATTTTGCTTAACATATTAGCAAATATGAATATTCTAAATTACTTCATTAGTAACGTCTACTTAGAAACAATAAATTTCAAGATGTCCATAATTCAAGGATGAGATATAGTTATTAAATGACTAATGTATCTAACTAACTCACAAGGAGTTCTGATAATTAGTGGCCACTGGCCATGTAGCTGAAAGAATCAACCTTATAGAATTCAAATTGTTCTTACCACCTCAGTAAATTGATTCTAGGTTAATGAAACATTCTATGTTTTCATTTATAAAATAAAACCTAAATAACGTTTCAGATGTGGTATAATAGATATTAAGACCAAAATAACTTAAAAATTTTGAGAACACAAATAAATCAATTCCAACTCTACCTGAAGCTCTCTCCTCCATTACCCAACTTTATTTCCAGGTTACCCCAAAATTTTACTTCTTACTGAAGAAATTATAGATAACAATATACCATTAAATCAATGCTATTCAGTAACAGAGCACAAGAACCCAAAGCACTTTTTCCACAGCTTGGGAACATCTGTGTATTCCAGACTTTAAGTATACACAAAATGGGCTCCCTCTAGCTCAGTGTGACTGTTCAGAAAGTACTATGTATAGGTGGATATCTAATAATTACCAATTGATGGTAAGAGCTAAGGCTGAATAGATAGCAATCTAGAATACCAAATAGTTGAAAAAGAAGTGGGCAGCTCTAGTAGGAAGAACTAAGTTGGTTAGAATTACATTTAAATTTTAGTTCCACACCTTACCAGCCGCACTACTGGGGTCCATGTTGCTTTTAACCTGAACCTGCTTTTACAACTGAAAAATGGAAATAACTCAAGCTTTACAGTGTTGCTACGAGGATTTAGAATACCAGTAAAGTACCAAGGATAAAGTTTAGCACATAACAGGTACTCAATAAATATTTTCTACTTCCCTTTCTTGGGTCTATTGATAGTAACTTTTAAACATTAAAAGGTTTTTAAACATTGCCCTGCCAGATGGCTCAGTTGGCTGGAGCATCGTCCCTGCACCAAAAAGGCTGTAGGTCCAATTCCTGGTTGAGGGGAGGGGGTATAGGAGAGGCAACCAATGGATGTTTCTCTTTCCCTCTCTCAAAGCAATAAAAATTTATCAATAAAAATAAGTTTTTATATATCAAAATTTTATTTTAAAAAGTAGAATAAAAAAAAAAAGAAAAAGTAGGAGAATATTGGAAATAAAACTATTACGTAGACTATTTTTCTGAGCAGTTGAAAAGTTTCCCCCATTTACAAAACAAATCAGAGCAATTGAAAAGCAGAAAAATGCTAAAAATTGAGAAATTGTATCTCTTCACCAAGCTCCTCTGAAAGGATGAAACATTCTAAACAGCATTTATTTTCCAGACCCAGAGTTTATTTAGGAATATATTTAGCACTGAATGTGAACATCTGAACTTTCTTAAATATCAAGCGACTTTAAAATGGGCCAAGAAAAAATTAAACATTTCATTCACAGACATCAGAAAAAGCAAATTTAACTAAATGGCATCAAAAACATTATTTGGTGTTGTGAAAAGCGGTATCTAAACAATTATATAAACACAAAAGAATATGTGACACAGAACCATTAAAATCACTGTGTCATAAACATGCAGTTGCAGGGCTCAAAGATACCCACAGTAAATAAGGTTAAATTAATTCAGTTTTGGTTCAATGTGCTAAAATATTATCAGCTTATTTTAAGCCCATTTTAACATAGGGTGTTGCTTTCAACTCAATACTTCTAAATCAAGTTTTCTTAAAGCAAGTAGCCAAGAATTAGAGAATTCTCAAGTAAACTTAATTTCTAAAGAGAAAGGGCTACTGTACTTCTGATACTGAAGTACAAAGCAAATGGAAAATTTCTTCTAACCTTCAATTTCCTCATGTTTTACATCCATGATAATAATCTTCTCATAGATTTATTTTGAAAATTAAATAAGGTGCCGAAACCGGTTTGGCTCAATGGATAGAGCGTCGGCTTGGGGACTGAAAGGTCTCGGGTTCGATTCCGGTCAAGGGCATGTACCTTGGTTGCGGGCATATCCCCAGTAGGTGGTGTGCAAGAGGTAGCTGATCGATGACACTCTCTCATCGATGCTTCTAACTATCTCTCTCCCTTCCTCTCTGTATAAAATCAGTAAAATATATTTAAAAAAGAAAAAAAAAATTAAATAAGGTTAGCCATGAAAAATTGCTGAGACATAAAATCTGGCACATAATAAAAGCACTCAAATGCTTGAATTATCTTGTATTATCTAAATAAAGACTAGCATTAAGAATAAAACCAGGTCACCGTTTGATTCCCAGTCAGCACACATGCTTGGGTTGCGTGCTTGATCCCTAGTAGGGGGCATAAAAAAGATAGTTGATCGATGCTTCTCTCTCATCATTGATGTTTCTCTCTCTCCTCCTCTCTGTAATCAATAAAAATATATTTTAAAAGAATTTAAAAAGAAACAGACATTCCTGTTTCTGAAATTATTTTCTATGAAAATTTATGTTTAAAATACCTTTAAAGCTTGTTAAAAATATGTATTTTAATAAATAGCTTAACACAAGTTAAGAACTTCTACTTATTTATAGCCATAGTATCATCCGGAATAATGGAATATAGGTTTACATAATCTTGAATCAATGAAGGTCCTCATTTTGCTGCTGTTACTATGGCAACCTACTCCACCAGGTGTCAGAGTACCTATTAATAGATTAAGGGAACAGAACTAAGGAAAAAACAAATCCTTAAAACTGACAAAATAAAAAATGTAAACGTTCAAGCATTCAACAAAATAGTGCAGTAAAAACTAAGATGAAAAAGCACTAACGCTCAACTTCAGAAATCATTTCACGTAAAACTTACCACACCACTCCAAAGAAATACGGAAGTCTAAGAGGTCAATTCTTCCATATTTAAATTTTTAAAAGGCCTTTCTACTTTTCCATATCTACTGTGAATAATACTGTAATGAACATAGGGGTACATATATCTTTGGGAATAAATGTTTTCAAATTTTGGTGGTAGAAATCCAGAATAGTTACTGAGTCTATGATTCATTTTTCTGAGAAATTTTCAGTTTACATTCCCACCAGCAGTGAATGAGGGTTCCTTTTCTCCACAACCTCTCTAACACTTGTTATTACTTGTCTTGTTGATAATACCCAACCTAATAGGTGTGATGTCCAACGGTCCTTTGCTAAATGACTGGACAAAGAAGATGTGGTACAAAAATATAATGGAATATTACTCAGCCATAAAATGCAATACTGCCATTTGTTACAACAAGGATGGACCTTGGGAATATCATGGTAAGTGAAATAAGTCAGACAGAAAAAGTCAAGAACCTATGATTTCACTTATATGTGGGATGTAAAACTGAAAGCAAAAAATGAACAAACAAAAGCTCAGACACACAACAATATGGTGGTTACCAGAAGGAAAGCGGACTGGTAGAGGGTATTAAATATATGGTGGTGAAAGGAGATTTGACCCTGGGTGGTAAACACACAATGCGATATCCAGGTGATCCTACATAAAAGCCTAATATGCTAAGTGTCTGGTCATCCATTCAATCAACCAAAGCATGATATGCTAATGATCTGCTAAGGCCGCTCAACTGCTCACTATAATGTGCACTGATCACCAGGGGCAGACACTCTGACCAGTAGGTTAGCTTGCTGTTGAGGTATGGCTAATTGGGACTGAGCAAGAGGGGCAGGACACGCACTGGGGCCCTCCCCGAGTCCCTCCCTAACCTAGATTGTGCACCAGTGGGATCACTTGGCCTGCCCTGTGCCCTCTCAAAATCCGGGACCCTTGGGGGATGTCAGATCGCCGGTTTCAGCCTGATCCCACAGGCCCGGTGAGGGACCCCAATAGTGCACAAATTCGTGCACCGGGTTTCTAGTATATAATAAAATTGTACACTTGAAACCTATATTAACAAAACAAAAAAAAACTTTGCCCTGCCATTCTACCCTCCAAAAACACCAGCAGCAGCACCATCTGCTAGTGCTACCACGTTAAAATAATGGATCACAAGAGAAAACTTTTCAAATCATTTTGCCCAATACCATCCATCCTTCCTCCTCAGATTCAATCATGTGGCAAGCCCTCTTAGAGAAATGCTTACTCTGAAAAGAAAAATGTTTTGATATTACTGTACTAATTCCACTTGTAAAGAAAATCTTGTCCCCCTCAGTTCAAATTCTCATTTTCATTTGTCATTAGTAAACACATTGGTAAAGATTTTAAGCATATCAAACCTGCTGGAACTACGAGATCTTCTTGATGCATTGTAACTTCTGGGTGGTGTTCTGGATTTTTTATCCTTCTTTCTTTTCTCATCTATCTCTTTGGATCTGTCCTTTTCTCGTTCCTTTTCTTTATCCTGTTCCTTTTCCTTCTCTTTGTCTCGCTCCTTTTCGTGGTCTTTTTCCCGCTCTCTCTCTCTGTCCTTTTCCTTGTCTTTATCCTTATCTCGGTCTTTTTCCCGTTCTTTATCTTTGTTTTTACTACGTTCCTTTTCTTTTTCACGTTCCTTTTCCCTGTCTCTCTCTTTTTCTTTTTCCTTTTCCTTTTCCTTTTCCTTTTCTTTATCTTTTTCTTTCACTCTTTCTTTTTCCTTGATCTTTTCTCGGGTTTCTTTTCTCTTGTCCCTTTAAAAACAAAAATAAGTAAGTAAATTCACAACTGAAATAACTCTACTCTCCAAAAGGACCTCCTCTCTTTCCTCAATAATTACCAACACAAAACAATTTATAATAGCTATAAGACATAACAAGTTTCTATATAACTCAGTTGTAACTGAAACTACTAAATAAAACAAATATCACTTTGGCCAGTGTTACTAAATCGTTAGATCCCATGCACCAAAGGGTTGCAGGTTCCATTCCCAGTCAAGGGCACTTACCTGGGTTGCAGGTTTAATCTCTGGACCAGTTGTGGTGTGAGCGGGAGGTGGCCAATGTCTCTTTCTCACACCAATGTTTCTCTCTCTTTCTCTTCCCTTGCCTATCTCCCTTTTACTCTTTCTAGATATTGATGAAAAAATGACCTCAAGTAAGGATTAAAATAAATAATTAATAAAATAAAAACAAATACCAGTGGGAATTAAGTACAGAAACCTCACGAGTCATAATGGCAATCAGATCCAAATCAATGGCAACCAATATTATCACAAAAACAATCAGAAAAAAGGTTTACTTTCCCTCACAACAGATTTTTAACAAATGAAGCCCTCCCCTACGCGACCCCCGAAAAAACTTACCGTGAATGTGAACGACTCCTTGACTTTCGTCTTTCCCTGGACTTAGAGCGTTTTTTATGTGGGCTCTTAGATCTACGTCTTTCTTTTTGTCTTGAACGTGATCTATTATGGGATCTACTCCTAAAAAAAAAACAAACTGTTTGAATGTCAATTTTTCTTAGAATTTCAATTTTTAATGATGTCTTTCAAATAAGAGAATTTTAAAAACTGTGCCACAGTATGTATCAATATGTTAAAATTCTCCACTATGTAGTACTTGAGTTAGATTATCTAAAATACTTTATTTATGGAAACTTGATCAGATTGGTCATTATCCAAAACACCAAGCTAAAAACAGAGAAAGAATGTATTTTTTGTGTCAAATTTAAGTTAGTATTCTCAAGTGTGGCTTTCTTTTGCTAATTTATTTTCCTTTTATTTCCCCCTCCAAAATGTCTCACAAAACAGAATATACCTCTGTGAAAACAGGAGACAAAATAATGCCACTTCTGCACATTATGTCTTCTTCTCATGTGAATCTCTTTTGCCAATTATTATGTGGCTTAGTATAGATGACTCCTCCTATGATCCAAGTTTCCACATCATAAATTGTCTTTAACTCGTGACTTGCATGTAATAACTGCTTGGAAATACAACTTATCTTGACAAGTTGTAATATTGAGTAGTGACCTCATAGTTCAATAATTTCTACAAATGGCTGTGAGCTATTTGTCATAATACATAATACATACAGTATAGTGTGACAGAAAAATAAACATCATTACTTATGAGTTAAAGCTAGACATAACCAAACGTTGGGATTTGTAAGGCCCTGATTTTGTAACTATACTAGTGATTGGCGCCAGCAAGAGATGTGTGAGTCAACTTAGCTTTTTATACAGTATATACTAGAGGCCCAATGCACAAAGATTCGTGCAAGAATGAGCCTTCCTTCCCCTGGCTGCCTGTACTGCCTTTACTCTAGCAAGAGCCTCCTTTCTGCCTTCCCATACTGCCCAGAGGCCCAGAGCTGCTAGGGCGGTGCAGAATACCACTCTGCACCTGCGTGTGCAAATTAACCCACCATCTTTATTGGGTTAATTTGCATACTCACTCCTGATTGGCTAGTGTGCATTGTGAAAATATGGTCAATTTGCATCTTTCTCTTTTATTAGTGTAGCTAGAATAAACTTGCTTAATTAGACCTGCTTTCTGATTTAGCTAAGCTTTTTTCAGCCCAATAAAGCACCGGCATAAAAAGGGAGTGGACTGACAATTCTAAAGGGTGTAGATGGTGCTGGAAGAGACTGGACAAAAATTGTACACCTATGGATGAGGACAGTGAGAGGTGAAGGGTAAGGATAGAGGGTGGGGTAGGAACCAGGTGGAGGGGAGCTATGGGGGAAAAAAGAGGAACAATTGTAATAATTTGAGCAATAAAAATTAATTTAAGAAAATTTAAAAAAAAAAAAAAAAGCAGTGAATAAGAGGAAAGACTTTTAAAAAAAGTAAATCTAATCCAACCAAAGATAAAATTTAAATTACCGTTAGTAGTTCTCATTTTAGAGTAATGTGCAAAATTGCATTTATAAATTAAAGTGAATAAAGGGCAACTTACCATCACGTTGCAAAAATCATTTGTAAGTCAATTGTTTGCCATAAATTGTTTGCCATAAAATGTTATTAAATGCTGATCTTTAAAAGTTACTTAACTTTAAAATAGAATAATTAGGATGCTACCCATCTTTCCTAACACTTTCCTGATGAGAACACATGAAAAACTGTAAACAAATCATCCCAGTCCTAACCAAGATTAAAAAACAAAAACCTTCCTCCTCCTGAGGGGAAGGAATAAGAAGGGTGTGGCTTTAAAAGCACCTGAGGACAGTGAGAACGTAGAAAGGGGGCCTTCAAGAGAAAGGACTGCTGCCATAGCTGGTTTGGCTTGGTGGATAAGAGCGTCAGCGGACTGAAGTGTCCAGCAGAACCTGCGGACCTAAGTGTCCCAGGTTCGATTCCGGTCAAGGGCACATACCTGAGTTGCAGGCTTGGTCCAACCTGCAAGAGGCAGCCAATCAATGATTACCTCTCATCATTAGTGTTTCTATCTCTCTTTCTCTCCCTTCCTCTCTGAAATCAATAAAAATATTTATAAAAGAGAAAGAGTGGGGGAGGGCTCCTACAACCCACATTCTTGCTAAGCCTAGCAGGTCAGGGCTAGCATTAAGGGTATTCAGTAGGGGAGGGAAAGCTAAGAAAAGTCTGTCATCCCTCTTCCCTACTAGAGTGGGGGAAGTTACTTCCATGTCAAGATACTTAAGTTTTCTGAGTAAGGGTAGGTTTTATTTTTTTTCCCTTTAAACACAAATCATCCTCTTATGTATTTAAGAACTTAGTAAAAGCCATATATGTTTCTAAAAACCATGTATAAAAATAGCATATGCTTACCAAAAATATGTATAAAAGTATGTGTGTATTTATATATATGTGTGTGTGTGTATATGTAGATATGTCTATGTGTGTATATATACAGTTGACTCTTGAACAATGCGGGGGTTGAAATGCTGACCCATCGGTCAGTCGAAAATCTTCTGACTCCACCAAAACTTCAGTCATCACTCAGAATCCACAAAAGATTGATTCCAGAACTAACCCCTCCCACCACAGATACCAAATTCTACAAATGTTCAAGTCCCTTATACAAAACTAGAGGCCCAGTGTACAACATTTGTGCAGGGGGTGGGAGTGGGGTGTTAGCCTAGCCTGTACCCTCTCACAGTCCAGGACCCCTCGTCCTTACTGCTTGCTGCTCCTTAGCACTGCCACAGAGGCAGGAGAGGTTCCTGCCATCATCACTGCAATAGCCAGCCATGAGCCCAGCTTCTGGCTGAGCGGCACTCCCCCTGTGGGAGTGCACTGACCACCTGGGGCAGCTCCTGCATTGAGTTTGTCTGCTCCCTGGTGGTCAGTGTGCATCACAGCAACCAGTCATTCCACTGGTCAATTTGCATATTAGGGCTTTATTATATAGGATGGTATGGAACAATGCCTATAATAGGCCTCTCATTTTTGTGGAAAATATGTACTGTCTTCAAAATGTGGTTGATTAAATACATAAACCCTAAACCCACAAATATATTTACTGAAAAGAATCCACATACAGGTGGACCCATGCAGTTCAAACCCATGTTGTTCAAGGGTCAATTGTATGCAGGCCAAGAATAAGTAATTTATTATGCTACATAGTTAGACCTTCATGAAAGCAGTTCCATGAATGAGAAACATAATTAACAAATTTCAGTTTAGGAACAATCTTCCTCTCTATTAACCCTTACACAAAGGGAAAATATCCAAATATACTTAAAATAATGAGAGCAAAAACCTTAAAGTGGTCAGCACTTCAACCCCTGCATTGTTCATATTTGCCAACAGATTAATCTTCCCAGAGATTATCAAGGAAACAATTATGTCAATCATTAAGTTTGGTTTTAGTCTAGCCTAGAAAACCACTAAGGTATTAGATTTGGAGCCTGGCTCTTGTAATCAACACAAAATGAACTCTTCAATTCAATTCTGTATTTCCTTAACCTCCTTTATGTTCACCGTATCTATCTACCTATACTAACGTTGACAATCTAGCACCACTGCTTCTATACCCCTTTCCTTCTCCAGTTCTGGATTCTGCTGCACTGGTCATTCCTTTTACATGAAACAACTTCCTTCACTTGGATCTGAACTTGCTTATTGTAAGGCCGTGTGTGGGAGAATACAGTAAAACTACATCCCAAAAGAGATTTTGCAAACTAAGAATAACAGAGAAGTATAAACCAGTAAATAGCAAGAAGTATACCCTATTAGTCATAGAAATAGTATTTTCCTATCTCATTGTTTCAATCTCTTTGAACAACACAGAAAAACAGACTACACTGAGCTTGCCGGTGAGGTTTAACATACTGCAACATACTGGTTCCCTCCTCTCTAATTCTCCCTCCTTTTCTAATACCCTCACACCACACACACATAAACATGCACACACTTTTCTCTACCTCTTCTCTTTAGGCCAAGGTATATGTGTGCATGCAGCCTGCAGTTAGAATCCACTATATACATTTCCACATTTTAGTAACAGTCCCTCCACATCTTAAAGATGATAACTGAGATCTCCGTTCAGTCAAACACAACAGATTTAAAAAGAAAAACAACAGAGCTATGTTCAAAAATAAAACAAAACAAACAGAGCTTAAGCACAATACAATAGTTGGAACTAAAGCTGCAAGTTACTCCTGTTTCAGGTCCCGAAGTACTAAAGAGAGTTAAGGACTGGAAAGCAAGATCTGGGATAGTACTTCCAACACCTGAGTGGAGTAGGAAGGGGGAGGGAGGAGCAACTTCAGCAATCAGCCATTAGCATCCTAATACACATGGTTCCCTTTCTCAATACGCAAAGTTTCTGCCAGTCTGTATAAACACTAGTTTACTCTTAGAAAAATCCAAAACATTGCATCTTAAGATAGAAAACCAATTTCTAAAACTAAAAATTCATTGAAATAACAATGACATATTAAAAATTGCATTTTAAACTATAGTTAATTATAATTAAAGCAATATTTCATGGTAATCATACTTTTTGGTGAACTCTATGAGATTTTCAAATTCTGACATTTAGGAAAAAACTCAGAAATCTTAACTATTTTTAATACAAGACCAAAAAAAAAAAATTTAAAGTGATAGCAGAAATTCTCACCTGTGTTTTGATTGTGATCTTTTCCTTCTAGAATGGGATTTTGAGCTAGATCTGGATTTGGAACGAGTGTGGGAACGTGATCGACCGCCTTTTCTTTCATTGCTCTTTCCAGACTCTGGGAGGAAAAAACCACTTTGCAGTGTAAGCTCAGAACAATTAAAGATCCCAGTTAATAATCAGGCACAAGTGGAATGTACCACATATAGTGCAAGGGGCCTACTCTCTGTACATCCTCCTCCTCTGCAATTATCCTTCAGAAACATCCAAGAAAGTCATTGCATAAACTCGTTGAGTGCAGCCACCCTGCAGCAGTACATATAAACCAGATGATTATAAACAGCTGTTCGTAATATTTTGTTGCTGCCATAATGTAAGATTATAACATGTCTGTAATACCTGTAACAGTGATTTTAAATCCTTCTCCATTTATTTTGCTAGAATTGAGGCTTAAATTCCGAGTGCTACTTTAGAAAACTTGCTCAAATGTAAACCATCTAGACAGTTTTAAATTGGATTTTTAGATTTTAGTTAGCAACACAAAAGTTTGAAGAGTTAAGTGTTCTTTTACCTTGCTAAAACAGTGTATTTTCCCTAACTCACAGAATCTCTTGTTTATATTTACAATTAAAACTTTGATGAAAAGTGAGTCTGCTTAATCATCACATTTTAAATATATTTATTCTTGTTTTTGGTCTCATAATAACATTTATATGTTGCTTTAAGCAAGTCAGTTTTGAGCACTAATTTTGCTCTTAAAGTATAAAACTGATTAACTCAGGCTAATGTGCCTCAATTCAATATCATGAGAAAAGAATGTGCTAAAGTACTTCTTTGACCTTTGACATTAGTAAGTCACTTACTCTTTCTTGAGTTTCAGTCTTCTTGTTTGTAAAATGAAGGAACTGAACAAGATTAATTTCTAAAATTCCTTGCAGTCCTAAAATTCTATGATCTTAAACTATAACCTATGTAACAACACTATGACCTTACCTGGTTCAATAGCAGCTGAGATAAATGACTGAGCTTCTCGTACTCGCTTCATTACTTCTTCTAACTCCTTAGCTGCAGCCTGAGGTGTCATCTCAGGGGGTTTTACTATTGCATTGTTGGAGTGATTTATTCTAAATTAAAAACATTAGCATATCACAAATACACACCGTCTTTTACAAATCATGAAACAATTAAGTTTTTACATGATACATATATTTATGAATCCACACCTCGAAAGCACATTAAAGAGTAATATAGCTAAATACAGAATAACCACAACCAACCTCAAAACCATAATCTCATTTCTACCTGACTTCATCTCTTGCTAACAAAGCCAAAAGCAAGAGGAGAAAAAAACTTGAATATTAGCCGACTTCTTTAACAACTTTAAAGACCAGTACGACTGCTTCCCCCTGCACAGCTTAGAATTATAATAAATTAAAATGTTGACACCAATATTAAAATCAATCACTTCTATTCTTAGATTATAAGAATTTGTTGATAACTTCTGCACCCTGGGAAGAGCAAGGGAAGCTGTATATTCTGTACACTATTTTCATCACTCCTGTACCACAGCGGATTCAAACACAGCTTTGAATGTGGGAGGCATTTGATAAAACTCTTTTATCTACCAGGCAACAGTGGTTTCTTTGATGCACATAGAAGAATTTCTTTAGTCTCACCCCTTCCACAATAGAAGATAAGCATTCACTAGGAACAGTTATTTATCCTTTAAAGCAGAATCCTCATCAAACTGTATAACTAAGGTAATTACCTCAATAATCTGCATAAAATATAGTATCTAACAGGCTACATCAACTTCTCATTTTGCAAACAAAGATAGAAGCCAACCTTAAAACTCAAAATGGCCGAAACCGGTTTGGCTCAATGGATAGGCTTGGGGACTGAAAGGTCCCAGGTTCGATTCCGGTCAAGGGCATGTACCTCGGTTGCGGGCATATCCCCAGTAGGGGGTGTGCAAGAGGCAGCTGATCGATGACTCTCTCTCATCGATGTTTCTAACTATCTCCCTCCCTTCCTCTCTGTACAAAATCAATAAAATATATTTTTTTTAAAAAAACTCAAAATGTATGATTCAGATAATTTGAGTATTTAATATTATTTTCTTCCTGGGATTTTGGATTTACCAAAATTCTTATTACTGTTTTAAGTAAGTAAATAAATAAATTCAACTCATATGTTAAATTGTCCTTTAGTCCAGTCATAATGCAAAGCTCACCTGACTTGTTAAAGCTTTTGGAAAAATACCTATGGTCATTTCATAAGGTATATAACCAACATTAACATTAAACTAGACCTTATAAAATAGAAAATAAGATGTCTTCAAATACAACCATAAAGGCTAAAATGGTATCTCAGGTATTCATTTAGTATACTTAACACAAAGTCTTCCTTTCCACAAATTGCCAATTACTATTAAATAGAAAAAAAAAAAAAAAAAGGCCTTAATTACATCAAAAATACTTTAAAGTTTTTCAAAATCATTAAAATTTCTTGTTTAGGGTTTCTTACTTCAATGGCCTGTCTCCAAACATAACTCCATTAAAAGCAAGGGCCCTTGGTACAGAATTTTGGTCTGCAAATTCCACAAAAGCAAACCGAGTTGGCTGAGTCTCATCACCTGCCATCCGTACAAACTTCACTTCTCCAACTTGTTTAAAAAATTCAAGTAGCTGGTCAGCTGTTGTTGTCTGAAGAAACAAAGTAAAATTTTAATAAAGTATATTCTTTTTAAAAAAATCATAAATATTACTTTATCAATCTATATGATTTTTAAGAAGGGGGAATCAGTGTCTTCATTACCTGGGAATTCAAATTGCCAACATAGACTGTTCTCCTGATTTCATCAATTTTAGAAGGATCCACATTTCCCATAAGTGGTGGCTGTGGTATCTCTCCAAGTGTTGCAATATTGGGGTCTAGTGCTGCTGCTGGTATTGCTCCCAAACTGCTAAGGGAAACACCCAGCTATTAAGAAAAAAGGGGGGGAAAGCACATTTTTGGTTAGTATCAAAAATTACCATTCTCTAATCTTAAAAAAGAATTGATAAACTCAACAAGAATGGGAAGAAACTAGGGGCTCCTAACTTTAAGACAGGGATATGTCTGAATTTATTAAGAGGGAGGTCCCAGTAGTTTTTAATGTAATTTGAAATGCAAGGTATTTCTTACTATCTGGATCTAGTAATAATTAATGTCGTTTTTTAACATTCATTTAAAATCTTGCTTGGCGTTGACTTGTATTGACATAACCTTCAAACACGTGGTATCTACAGAACATGTGAAGTGCAATTAACAAGTTTTGCTTGAAAAAGTTTGTGTTTGGTTTGGTTTTTGTTGCAAAACTAGGGCTAAGAAGATGGCGGATGAAGAGCATATTCGGCACTGCATGCTTTACGAGTTCCAATTAGGAAGAAAAGCAAGTGAGGCTGCAAAAAACAACTATAGTGCTCTTGGTCAAGATACAGTTAGCGCCAGAAAATGCCAGCGTTGGTTTGAGAAATTTCGCGAGGGAAATTTTTCGTTAGATGACAAGAGTGGTCGAGGCCGTGTGTCCAATTTTGATCAAGAAGCTCTTCAAGCTCTTTTGGTGCAAAATCCTCAAATTACCCAACAAGAGCTTGCGACAACTTTAAATTGTTCACAAAAAACAATTTCCAATCAATTGCGTGCACTTGGCAAAGTCCAAAAGTTTGGAAAATGGGTTCCTCATGAGTTGACCGACAACCACCGTAATCAAAGAGTCACAATTTGCAGTTCGCTCCTCTCTCGTCAAAACCGTTTGCCGTTTTTAGAGCAAATTGTTACCGGAGATGAAAAATGGGTGCTGTATGTTAATTTGAAAAGGCGGCCTCAATGGTTGGACAAAAATGAGGCTCCGCATGCAGCCCACGCCAAAACCTGACTTGCATGCGAAAAAAGTGATGTTGTGTGTTTGGTGGAATTTTAAAGGAATTCTTCATTATGAACTTTTACCATCTAACCAAACCATTACAAGTGCAGTGTATAGTGCCCAATTGGAAAGGTTAGCCCAAGCTTTAAGAGAAAAAGAACCACCCGCGCTGATTAATCGGAAGGGCGTAATTCTTCACCACGATAACGCACGACCGCATACTGCAAGAATCACTGCTGAAAAACTGCGCCAGTTGGAATGGGAAGTTCTCCCTCAACCTGCATATTCTCCTGATATTGCCCCTTCCGATTACCATTTGTTTCGTTCTTTGCAAAACTTTCTTCTTGGAAAAAAATTTAATAATGAAGAATGCCTCAAAAATGCATTGACCGAATTTTTCGCATCAAAATTACAAGAATTTTACAACAGAGGGATTAAAATGCTTCCTGAGCATTGGGCACAAGTAGTAGAAAACAACGGCAACTATATTGTTGATTAAATTTTGTTGTATTGTTTAAATAAATTTGATTTAAAAAAGTATTAGAAAACGACATTAATTATTACTAGAGCTAATATTTTATCTACTCTTAATCTTAACACTAAAACACGCAATTCTCATTATCTGTAGTAGTTATGTCCTATCAAGTTGCCACAAACACTGAACTGTTGAATACTGAATCACTGCTACTAGGGAAAATTAGAAGGCTAGGTTCTAACAAGCCTCTGGTCTTATTTTCATCAACCAATACAAAACCTTGTTTTACATTATGTTCTGTTTAAACACACCTTATTTAACATTTATTGTTGATTCAGTAACACTGAACTCATAGTCAGAAGCACTATCAACTCATTCCTGAACGAGCCCTAACACATATTTTCTCTGTAAGCCACATCACACAGCCTTCCAGCCCTTAGAAACACTAGACAGCACTTTAGCACTACATTTGGGAGCTAATTTAAATGGTGAAATCATTAACAAAATGTACAAAATGTGAAAAACATGGCACTAAACAGACCACAAAAAGGACTCTTGTTTATAGGCATACCCTGGAGATATTGCTATTTCAATTACAGACCACCACAACAGAGCGAGTTGTAATCTTTTTGGTTGGTGCAGGGTATTGCTTTCAATTTATTTAAAACACACACACACACACACACACACACACACACACACAACACATGTAAGGACATAAAGCACAGTGCAATAAAATTAGGTACACCTGCCCTTGCTAGTTTAGCTCAGTGGATAGAGCATCAGCTTGAGGACTGAAGGGTCGAAAGTTCAATTCCAGGCAAGGGTATGTATCTCATTACCTTTGAATAAAATTTACTGGTAAATTCCTTTCCATGACAAAAAAAAAACTATCTATCCCTCCCTTCACTCACTATGCTTCAACCACACTGATGGCAATTCTCTACCTTGAACACACAAGTTTTCAAATCTTGGGGTTTTTAAAAAAATCCTCACCGGAGGATATGTTAGTTCATTGATTTTTAGAGAATGGGAGAGAAACATCCATATTAAAAAAGTCAACTGGCTCCTCCTATACTTGGCCCAAACAGGGATTGAACCCACAACTTATGTGCCTTGACCTGAAATCAAACACCTGCAACCTTTTGATGTACAGGATGATGCGCCACTCAGCTGAGCCACCCAGCCGGGGCCCTCCTTGGGATAGTGCTCCTCCTGCCCTGAAAGCTCTTCTCACTGCTTCTGCCAGGTGACTTCTTCGAGTATCAGTTTAATTATTCGCTCTAAGACGGTTTCCCTGACCTTATTATATGAGGCTTCATTTACTTTCTACCACATCACTGGTTTTTTTCCTTCATAGTATTTATTATAATCTGTGGTATCTTGCTACTACCACATCTTAGATTTGTTACTCACCATCACCATTTCAAGTTATCAAAAATCACGAAGTTTGGTTTTCATTTTTAATTAAAATTCAGTGCCTCAGTCACACTAGCCACATTTCAAGGGCCTAAATAGCTCAGCTGCTTGTGGCTACCACACTCAATAGTACAGATACAGACAGGCATTTCCATCATGGGAGAAAGTGCTATTGGATGTGGCTGCTCTGTAATACTAAAATTCCCATCTTTAATCTACTTTCTGGCCCTAATTCTGGGCTAATATTTAGTTGCCCTTTGGTCTTTGAAGAGTTCAAGATGATCTGGTCTCCAGATGTAACACGTTTTGCCTTTTTATACAGAAACTTTGGCCTCCCTTTAAATAGAAACCTGATGAACAGTTTCATTGTTAAGAAAAAGTTTAAAAGTAAACCTTTCAAATGTCTGAAAGATAAAGTTGTAGGCAGAGGATAAATAAGTACAAAAACCCTATGGCAGAAATGTACTTGACATGTCCAAGAAGTGGCAAAGGTGAAGTAGAGTGAGCAGGAAAAAAGAGAGGTAACCGGGAGCTAAAACACACTGGGCCACCTTTCTTCTATTCTCTAACTGAAATTATTCTTCATAAACTAAGTTCTGTAACAACAGATCCTCTGCAGATGAATTAGGAAGAAACTATTCTCCCTAAGGGCAACAAATTAAACAACAAAACCTTTATATTGTTGATAAATAAACCCTAAGGGTTTTCAAAATAGCAAGAAAATACTTGAGGGTGGCAGGGGTAGTCAATGAATTAAAATATAGCAAAATATATCCAAAATAAAACTTCTAGAAAGCTCAATAGAAATGATCAACTGTTGAATTTAAAAAGCATTTCCCCCTATAAGTCACAATGCAGATCTCCATCAGAACAATGTCATGTAAAATTGAAAGACCTAAAATTTTGCACTTCAAGGTTTCAGAACCCACTTTTATAACTTGGATACATTAATTATACTAATCATAGACATGAGTTCACTCCCTAAAAATCCAGTACCACAAAACTACAATAGATAAAACTTTCAATTTAAGGTGATATTTTGTCTTGTTTGTTTTCAAAGAAAAATGACCCTTTTTTTAAAATGTTTTTTTTTTTAATTATTATTGCTTTCAGAGGAAGGAAGGAAGGAAGGAAGGGAGGGAGGGAGGGAGGGAGGGGAGAAACATCAACGATGAGAGGGAACCACTGATTGGCTGCCCGCTGCATGCCCCCCACCGGAGACCAGGCCAGCAACCTGGGCACGAGCCCGACTGGAATCAAACCCAGGACCACTCTTTTTTTTTTATTTTTATTGACTATGGTCTCACATAATTGTCCTTATTCCCCCATTCCCATCCCAAAACCCTCCCTAGATATGCCCCCCTCCCCCCGCCCCGTTGTCCATGGCCACTGGCTAGGCCCATATGTATGCACACAAGTCCTTTGGTTGATCTCTTCCCCTCCCATATGTATGCACACAAGTCCTTTGGTTGATCTCTTCCCCTTACCCCCATCACCTCTTATTTTCTGGGACCCCTCTTTTAAAGTAATTATGACCCCAATCTTTTACATAAAAACCAAAGTACAGTAACAGCCATATCTTTTTTTAACCCCACTCGGAAATCACAAAGGAGATATTAAACTACTATTAATTCTATAGAATTCATTAAAAAATACTTTGTCATGTTTTTACCTTGTTACATTTTCTCAGATAAATCCTTCTCTGAGATATTTTTTTCCTATTATCAGGTTGCAAATCAGTTCATATTTTTAAAATAAATGTGGTACTCATGAATTGGAAAATATAGTTACCTAGATTCTTCAATTCACCATGTGGTCTAAAATGCTGAATTTCAATAACTGATTTGCTAATGAATAATCAATTTTAGTTCTGAATTTAAATGACTCTTCAATTACTTCAGAATTCCAAAAGATAGTTTAAGTACTCATAAGTGACAATTGAGGGGGGGAAATTAAGTACATATTTTGGTTCTCTCCATTAAAATAAAAAAGGTTCAAGATAAAAATTTTCTAAGCCCTTTATTCAACTGATTAAACTGTTGAACATTCATTCTTTTTAGAAGAAGGTATGTAATACTTACTGTAGTCAAGGGATTTGGGGTTGGTATGGGAAGCAAGCCTGCACCAGGCATCAGACTTGTCATGGTTGGAGTAGGAACCAATAAAGAGAGTGCTTTTGATTCCTCTGGGATTTTACCTGCAGAGGCAAGTTTCAAACATTACAGAAAGCAGAAACACCACACAAACTTTACACTATGATTTTACAATTACCCTTGTACTTAAAAAATAATAATAATAAATGAATCTATCTATCAGATCCGTATAAAGAAATAAATTACAACTTAAGTCTTTCCTTTTATCCTGCTCTACTAGGAAAAATAAAAGTGAGCAAAATTTCAAAGACTAACAATCTCATTAATGGAATATTATTTTAAAAATTGAATAATGTAGACAATTATTTAACACTTTGAGCTATGGGTCACCTGTACTGGAAACTTAATGTTCATGAACCAAACGATATCAAGCATGGACGCTTTCCCAGGACGGTGTTTTCGCGGTGATCGAAAGTTGTGTTACACATGACAACCGTTCGTGTTGGCTGCATCACTAATAGCACACAGAACATCAGATACAGAAAAGAAGAACATTTTTTAAAGTTTAATCCCCAGAAATGGCAAATAACCAAATTAGTCAAAAAAAAGAAAAAGAAAAAACAAATATGTGCGAATTGAAATTTGTTCCTTACTGAGTGCCCCTATCCTATTATTTAAACTACCTACTTGTGGTGCAAACAATTTTGATAACCCTTCCAACAAATTCCATTTAATTTCAAGTAGATAGAAGAAAACAAACACCTACTGCATGAAATCAGCTTCAATTTAAAAAGAAGCTGTACCATTCAATTAATACGTCACCTCCCAAAAATGTCAGAAATGCTCAAAAGAACCCAGGTCTAAAGAATATGCCTTGGGAAATTGCTAAAACTTTTTAGAATGACTAACAAAACAAGTTCCCTAATCTCAGGAAACTTTTTAAATTATTGACTTTTAGAACCAATTTATGTATACTTATCTGAAGAGAAATAGCTGATCCCTAAATGTGTTGCTTATAAACATCTTCTAATAATAGCACTGAAATATTCAAAGATGCTAAGAAAAAAATTCCTGACTAAAAACTAAAAATTTACTCTGACATATGTCCATAAATTTGTGATATTACTGAATTCTAAATCAATTAATTTTAATAAGGACTTCAACTTCCATGCATTTTTCCTGGTCCCCTCTCTCTCTCTCTCTTACAGTTCTCTCCCCCACCCCCCAAAAAAATAAAATAAAATTTACTCCTAAAAAAATTGACTACAGCGCCCTAGCCAGTTTTACTCAGTGGACAAGCATCTGCCTGAGGTCTGAAGGATCCCAGGTTCAATTCTAGTCAAGGGCACATGATAAGTTGTGGGCTTGATCCCCAGTGGGTGTGGGAGGCAACCAATAGATATTTTTCTCTATCTCCCCCTTCCTTCCACTCTCTCTAAATATCAATGAAAAAAATATCCTCAGGTGAGGATTAACAACAAAAAGTTGACTACACATAGCTATTTTGGGCTACACATTTCCATTATGAATTCAAAAGTAATTTAAGACAGTTTATAAATCATGTTAAACTGAAAATAGCACATGGAGTAAATTTTTCAAAAGCACCAGGTTAGGTTTTAGTGGTAAAAACTCTTATTTAAAGCAACCAGATATGCAGAGATAAATCTCTAAACAATATTATCTAAACATATCTCTAAATAGAATTCAAGATGGATTTTTAAAACTTGCTTTTAAAAATGGTTACAGTCGAAACCGGTTTGGCTCATTAGATAGAGCATTGGTCTGCAGACTGAAAGGTCCAAGGTTCGATTCCGGTCAAGGGCATGTACCTTGGTTGCGGGCATATCCCCAATGGGGGGTGTGCAGGAGGCAGCAGATTGATGTTTCTCTCTCATCGATGTTTCTCACTCTCTATCCCTCTCCCTTCCTCTCTGTAAAAAAATCAATAAAAAATATATTTTTTAAAAAATGGTTACAATTATTTACAGGAACAAAACAAATTATCAATACATTAGCTTTAATAAATGCCTACTTTTTTCTAATCTTTGAAACATCTAAATCTATATTACTTTAACCTAATTTCAAAAACAAAGCTATTTTATTATTTGTGTAAATTCTGCATAAACATAATTTTTTTAACATGCATAGAGATAAATGAAAGGTAGGCCTTACTGAAAATATCAAACAATATTTTATATTGAATAGTTACTAGTATTAACACATATTTCTGTATACCCACAAATATACTATACTATTTATATTGCTATTACGCATGTTTTGTTATAAATAGGAATTATTTTTTAAATGTTTGTAAAACCTAAACACACGTTGATAAATCAACTGAAGTCCCGGGATATAAACTCTGTGCTCTGCTACCCTAATGTTCCAATCTAAAATCCCAATTTAATATACTGTCAAATAAGTCAAATTACCTATACAAAAGATGTAAAAAGATTACACAAACAATAAGAGTATTCAACACAGGCCAAATGTTGAATACTTAGTATGATAAAACCTTTCACTGTGGGCTTCAAAAAAAAAAAAAGCATCAGTAGATTGACTCCTACTGCCTTTCTTAGTAGTAAAAAACTACTATAAAGTCTAACTGTAAGCACACTAATTTTTTCTTATCCTAATCATTATTAAAGATACTTAAAGTTCCATTAGTTTCCAAGATAGAATTCTATCAAACTTACCCTCTAAATACTATTACCATATAATAGTATAAAACCAATAAGCATTTAGCATTTTTCCCAAATTATACTCAATGACAACTGAGAGAACAATGTTTCTCACTGTATTAAATTAGTAGTCCTAAATCTCAGAATCCATTTAGAAGCTAGTAAACTCTGAATATTTCTCAACAAAAAATTCAAGCAAACAGAGAAACACACACATGTAAGTATTTAATAGCTTCTCAAATACTCATTCCCCTCACAGGCAACTAGTTCTTTATAAGGAAATGTTATTTTCTATAATGAGTAACTATCATTAAAGTGAAAGTTTCTTTGTGTCCTCTACCCCAATTGTTATAAAAAATTAACTTATTTTCCATGATTCTGGATGGCTAAAATTCTAGCAGGGAGGATGCAATCAATTGATTTTTATAAGAAATATACATTTGGGAGAAAAACTGTAAAAATGTTGCATTGAGGTCAGAAAATGTTTCTAATAATTTTATCAGTGTTTCAAGAACAAATAAATGTACCTGATCAGTCTATAAACACCAATTAACATTCCCACTCAGCCTCCTAATACTCACTGTATCCTAATTTGCTGTGAACATTTATTTTATCTTAAGGTTGAGCTCTGCTGATCATCTCCCCATATATTTTGCAATGCAATGTTATGAATCCTTAATGGAATACCATTTACAAAGAACTGGAAAACCAGCTCACAAGTTAAAGTGAAAGAGATTTAACAAAACAAAAACAAAAAAGGGACAAAATAAAGAAAAAGAAATGAAATTAAAGTAAAACAATAAAAAACAGAGACAGGGCGTCCATCTTCTGCGGTTCAGACTCCGATCTCATTTCCCCAATGAAGGTTTCACTTGACGGCAGGTTTAGTGGCATGGCAAACAATGCCTAACTCAGGCAAGTGTCAGGCAAGTGTAACAGGTCTGCCTTGGCCAGTCTAGTCATCTAATAATGCACAAATATCACATAGAGAAAACATACAAAACCAAATTAATAGTCAAAATCCATCTACCAGAAAATGTGGACATAAAGTTATGACTGATGATTAGGCTGACAATCTTGTTATGTCTGACCTTATCTTTTTTTTCTAAGTGTTAACATTTATAAAAATAAATCTGAGATGCACACAACAACAAAAAGAGGTCAAGCATAATGAAAGTATATTTATTTTGAAATGGCATGTTTCATTGACAATAGCTAATGCTTGATATGTATGAAACTATTACACATCGAACATTACATATTCACAATGTCTATTTTATTTTTTTAAACCCAGCAAATTGAAACTAAAATTTTTTCTATGGTTTTCTCATTTCTTTCATAATGCTGTTTCTTTAACATCAAGGAAAGAATGCAATATGAAATAAATAGAACACTGTTTATAGTACCACAGTATATCTCTTATAGAACTTACTCCACTAGAACTCCTCCTTTCGTTTATTTCAAATTCACTTTGCTATCTTCTTTTGGTACAATATATAATACTTTTTATTACTTTGCTTGCAGTGCATAATCGGATCTTTAAAGGCTCACTATGACATTCGTAAGGTTCTATAAATTTATCTCAGATATATTTTATTTAATGAAAAATGTGTGTCTGAACGTTTTTCTAACACCAGTTATTTTATAGGTAAGTATTCTAAACCAGCGGTAGCCAACCTTTCGGACCCCGCAGACCACCAGTGACCCACAGACCACTGGTTGGCAACTGCTGTTCTAAAGCACATAACTAAATTGCAATGAAAAAATTTAAATTTTCATGTTCAAAAAGGTGAAACTTTGTCTCAAAATGATATTAAAAATGCATTTATTCATCTCTATCAAGTAAAACAAACAAAATAAGAAACCTCTACCTGCCCATAACTTTGAACATTCATGACAAATTAGAGCCAGGGTTTCTCAAATACTATAATAAAAGGTTCTATGGGAGTACAATAAGGTTCCAACAAAGCAACAACTGATAAAATTCTTCCTTCTAATTCAGTAATAAGCCAATAAAATGTAATACCTGGTGCTGCTAGTGACTCATTTTTATGATATAATATTCCCACTTAATAAACCTTCTGATTTTTCCCCCATGAAATTTACTTCTGTGAAATTGGTATGAACTTGGTTTGTAGAACTAAACCATTACCAGCTCTTTCCTCACCTGGCTCTCCAATTCTAGGTTCACTATCTCCTTACAGTAAGTAGATAAGGACAGAGATAGCAAATAATAAATTTTAATCCATTTTTATTCTTCCCCACTCCAATCTAACCCCAAGGTATAAGAAAAATACTTTCAAATGTATCTGAAAGAATGTTCTATTCTGGGACTTCAAAAATTAAAGAATGATACAGTATCTGATTAATGTTTTTGACATCTCAGAATAGCATTCTGAAATAAGCATAAAACCTTAAAAGTATGGCAAATTGTTTAGTATAAATTATTTTAATGCTGGCCTGATTTTTAAAATAGGTTTTAAAATATTACATATGAAAGTACATTAAATTGTTTCAGGTAAAATTATGTTGCAGTTACCACCATCCACCAGTAAAAATACATTTTAAAGATATTTAAATAACCCAATTCTAAAATCCATGTACATATGCCATAGTCAGTGCTCTGGATAAAATTAATTACACACCAGAACTGTCAAATTCGGCACAGCTTATTATATGAGTGGCTCTGTAAATAGAAGTTACTAAAAAATAAATATTAGTAATAATTAGCTCTTAAAGCAGGTTAAGTCATAAAATTTAACGAGTAACTATAAGGCCTCACATCTTCAACAACTATTTCTTTGATGAAGGAAATTGACTTTTCATGATTTTTCTTCAATTACTCCTTCCCCCACAAAAAAAAAGCCAGAAGAAAAAAGTAAATTCCAGTTGCATAGCAACCTTAAGAGAATACGTTAAAGCTTCAATTACAAATATTTTCTTATAACCATAAATATCACTTAACCCCAATTTGGCAAAATATGCACTTTTTTTATTTATGTAATATCACTAATACCGTGTTTCCCCGAAAATAAGACATCCACCGAAAATAAGACCTAGTGCATGAAAAAATAAGACATCCCCTAAAAATAAGATCTAGCGCATCTTTGGGAGCAAAAATTAACATAAGACACTGTCTTATTTTCGGGGAAACAGGGTATTGTATACACAGAGGCAAGTGCTTATTCATTTACACATTTAAAATAATTTCCCCAAACAACCTTTTTTATTTTTTTTTTATTTCTGAAAGCTTTCTTTACAGCTTGCAAATTAACTACAGAAAGCCAATGTAAACTGGAGAAGCCAAATAATTTATAAAATTTTTTAATGTTTATTTTTTAAACTTACATTAAGTAACAAATGAACCATTTTAATATATTTTATTAGTAAAAATGCTTTCCTTCTCCAAATTTCATTCTCACACACAAACACACATGCCAGAGTACTACTTGCCAATTTCTAAGAAAGTCAAGGTAATTAACAGACAAAATAGAGATTAAAATAGAAAAAAAAACATGTAGAGTACCAACCTTCTGCACAAGGTACAACTATCAGAGCTCTGTCAATAAAAACCGTGTTAGTTAGATGCTGGGCCACGCCAACACTTGATCGGTCACGAAACTTAACATAACATACTTTGGAAGAAAAAGCAAGAGGTGCGTTGCTGCAAGATAAAAAAAAAAACAACACAAAAAACAATTAGATAAACATTTGGCTGGTTCTGTCATTTTCACCAAAAAATTTTCTGAGATCTTTACAGAATCAAGACTTACAAAGTTTATTGCTAAAGATCATTAAGAAATGAAATAGCAAAATTTACTCTTTTAATGATGATCTATCTGCAAAGACTAGTGATAACTAAGAAGGCCTTTATTTAGCCTTACTTGCAAAAACTTTAAATTTAAAAACTTTACATTAAATTACGAATCTGAGCAAAATGTGAAAACTGCTTAACCCAAAAATGTTGAACCACATAAATAAGCAAAATACTTTTATAAAAGTGCCAATCTACAAGACTTAAATTTTTTTTACAACTTCTAAGCCTTCCCTGCCATATTTAAATTT